CCTGCTGGGCTCCGGCGATCCTTCTGCCTCAGCCTTCCAAGTAGCTGGAATTACAGGCATGCGCTACCATGCCCAGCTGATTTTTTGGTTTACTGTAGAGATGAGGTCTCGCCAAGTTGGCCAGGCAGGTCTCGAACCCGCGGACTCAGGCAATTCATTTACCTCAGCTTCCCAAAGCGCGGGATTACAGGCTGAGCCACTGAACCCAGCTCACTTCCAGACTTTAAACTTTAACTACATGGCTACAATAACCAAAACAGCCTGGTACTGGTAAGAAGAATAGGCACATAGATTCTAGAAACAAAAACTCAACCTCTCAACCAACTCATCTTTGACAAAGCCACCAATAACAACCACTGGGGAAAGGAGACCATATTTAGCAAATGGTGCTGGGAAAACTGGCTGACCACATGTGGAAGAATGAAACTGGATCACTACCTATCACCATATACAAAAATCAACTCTGAATGTATCAAAGTCGTAAATGTAAAGCCTCAAATCATAAGGATCCTGGAAGAAAACAGAGGAAATACCCTTATGCACATTGGAGTAGGCAACCAATTCTTGATCAAATCCCCAAAAGCAAATGCCATTAAAGCTAATATAGACAAGTGGAACCCCATCAAACTGAAAAGCATTTGCATAGCAGAAAAAACCATCAAGAGAGTTGGGAGACAACCCACAGATGGGAAAACAATATTTGCTACCTATGTATCTGACAAAGACCTAACATTCAGGATCTACAAGGAACTCAAACAAGCTGAAAGGAAAAAAAAAGTGGGCAAAGGACATGAACAGGCACTTTTCAAAAGAAAATATACAAGCAGCCAACAGATATATGAAAAAATGCTCAGCCTCACTAACCATCAGAGAAATGCAAATCAAAGCCACAATGAGACACTACTTAACTCCGATAAGGATGGGCATCACTAATAAATCAAAAAACAACAGATGCTGGTGTGGTTGTGAAGAAAAGGGAATGCTTCTACACTGTTGGTGGGAGTTCAAGCTAGTACAACCTCTATGGAAAGCAGTGTGGCAATTCCTAAAAGAACTAAAATTTCACCTTCCATATGATCCAGCAATCCCTCTCCTGGGAATATACTGAGAGGAACATAAATTGATCTACAAAAAAGACACTTGCATAGGCATGTTTATATATAGCTGCACTATTCAACAATAGCAAAAACACAGAACCAACCCTACTGCTTATCGAAAGTGGACTGGATAAAGAAAATGTGGTATATATACATGATGGAGTATTACACAGTCATAAAAAAAGAACAAAATCATGGACTTCACAGCAAATTGGATGGAGTTAGAGATCATTATACTTAGTGATCTGTCACAGAAATAAAGAACTGAATCCCACATGTCCTCACTCATAAGTGAGAACTGAACATTAATCACATAAGCACAAGGAAGGGATCAGCACTGCAGGGGGTGGGGGGAGGAGGGTATGTAACAACACAAAGGGTACCTGGTCCTAAATAAGGGGAAGTGAGGCCCAAACTTCACCTGCATACAACCTACTTGTGTAGCTAATCCTGACTTGTACCCCACGGCTCTATAATGAAATTTTTAAAAGACATAAACTGGAAGAGTACCTTTGCAAAAGAACCCTCAAAACTCAATAAATAGAAAAAAAAATTTTTTTACATGGGGAGAAGATTTGAACAGCTACTTCACCAAAGAAGATCTATGAATGGCAAATAAGTGTGTAAAAAGATGTTTATGTTGCATTAGAAAAATGCAAATTCAAAACTACAATAAGCTACTACTACACATACTTATTAGAATGGCTAACCTGAAAAAGACTGACCAAATCAAATATTGGCAAAAATGTGAAGGAAATGGACTCTCATGCACTGCTGGTAGAAATGCAGAATGGCACAACCACTTTGGAAAACAGTCTGGCAGTTTCATACAAAGTTAAATATATACTTATCATATGACCTAAGCATTCTACTTTTAGGGTTTTTATCCAAGAGAAATGAAAGCATATGTCTCCATAAAGATTCACACATGAATGTTCATAGCAATTTTATTTTTAATATCCCCAAACTGGAAACAACCCAAACATCAATCAACAGGTGAAGGGATAAGCAAATATATGTCTATATATCATAGTACTACTCATTAATAACAAAGAAAGAATTATTGATGCATACAACATGGATAAATAATTATAATATGCATACAATACTTATGTGCATAAACTGAGTCAGACAAAAATAATGCTTCCACTTAAAAAGTGTGTAAAAATGACATTTGCTTCCACTTAAAAAGTGTGTAAAAATGACATTTATGTTCTTTATATACCACGTCTCATGATTGTATATATATGTCAAAGTTTATCAAATCGTATGCTTTAAGCTTCCACTTAAAAAGTGTGTAAAAATGACATTTATGCTTCTTTATATACCACGTCTCATGATTGTATATATATGTCAAAGTTTATCAAATCGTATGCTTTAAGCATATGTAGTTCATTGCATGCCAATTATACTCTTTAAAAAATGAGTTAGTGTTCTAGAGGGATGCACAAACTTTTTGTTCTTTTAGGAAATCTTCATCTGTATGGCTACACACAGCTGAGCTTTTGATAAGTCCTAACCATGATCCAATAACATCTGCTTAAGAAATCCCATCATTCCAGAGAGGTAAACACCAACTGGATGATATATTGGATCTGGGGAGGGCCTATAGCCAAAGATGCTGACTGTCAGGTTTTGAGGTTTGGGCAGTCCTATCAGGCAACCTGATAAAATGGGGGAGGAGTGAGGTTAAGTTGATGCCTGCTATCAGGGACATGTAGGTGATCTGGTTGCCACACAGCTTCCAGGGTTGATTCTATCTGCTGAATGGTGTGCTCTTCTCTGCTCATTGCTCTAGACACAGGTTTCTCAGTACAGAGAACTGTCTTCTATGTAGACAAGAATGGGGCACAGGGAAGGAAATAACTCTGCTTACTTGCTATAGCTTCTCTGTAATCGCCCTCCCTCCCTCCACTTCCAGCTCACACCTGTGCCAACCAACAGTCTCTCTGGGCACTAGTTGTTGGCCAGCTCCCAAATCCCCACAGGGCCTGGGGTGCACCTGAAGCAGAGTCCATGTTCAAAGACCTGTCTTCCAACAGTACTGACCCACAGTCTTCCAGGCCTGGGGCTTTAAGAGGCTGTGTGACTCCATAGTGGGAAGTGAAGAGCAAGAAATTCAGATGTTCTAAAAGGGGGTAGGTCCAGTCATCTGCAGAAGTTTCTCTAGCTTTTCATCAATAATGGAGCTGCCATGTGCAGTTGAGCATTGTACTTGCTGTCTACTCACCACTCTCTTGTCCGGGACCCTCTGAGTAAACACCTTGTAGAGTCTCCAGCTTTTCCCCAGAATGGGGCCAAACACAAGGGAGATCCCAATGCACAGCATGGACAGTCTTATCTACGGGTGAAAGGGGACAGAAGCCAGTGTCACAAGAGGAACCTTTTTGTTGGTTCTCCACACATTCTGATCTGCAGAGGCTCAGTTCCATAGAGGGCTGGGGTAGAGAGAAGACCTCCCTAAGAGTTTTGAGAATTGCCTCTAAAAGTGCCCACACCAAAGATAAAGGTAACTATCACCCGCAGGAGCAGCTGTTTTAAAAAAATCATCAAAACTTTAACATTGTATTCAAAACCAAAATTTAAAACTTCACCTACCTGAATGAGAGTTTCCATGGAGCTTCCCACTGAAACATCTTGAATCCCAAAGAGGTAAGCACTACTGTAAGTGAGACAACTACCCAGTAAGGTCACAATGTTCAGATTGGGACTGGACATCTTCACAATCCTAGGGAGATGCAGGAAGAAAAGACACTTATAACCACAACTTTTGCCCTGGGCTCAAAGACCTGTAAGATCAAAGCTTCCTCAGCAGCCATAATCTGCAGTGCAACCTCAGAGTGAAGGGCCAGTGGAAGGAAACCACTGTATAGTCCTGTGAAAATTTGTAATTCATTTAAGCTTATTTTTAAAAAGTACTAAATTCTGACACTTCTTGCTTTTATAGCTCCTGGTCTTTTAACAGAAGGCTGATTACCTACAAACAGGTGGTATTGGAGAAGAGTTAAGATTTTATCTATGAGGTTTATGGTTACTAAGGGACTAATATATGCAGCTTAGAGAATACATAACCAGCAGGCAGATATCCAGAGAGACAGTTTAGAGACTTCAGAAATGAGCTGCAAGGTAAGCTCATTTGGAAAGAGGTTTGGGAAATTTTTTTCATTCACTATTTACTTTATTTGATATGTAAATTGTTTTTCTCTCTCTACTTGACCAAGAGAGAAAGAGGACTCAGGGATCAGAAGCAGGACACTGGGCAAAGGTCTTTTCTCAAATAGTTTTATTTTTATTTTTTAGATTTTTAAAAAACATTTATTTCTGAAAAGTGTTTGGTGATATACTTGCATATTTTTATTCATTATGCCAGGCTGGATCAGAAAACCATGGAATGAAGAATTCTTTTCTGAATCAAATGTATTCAGGCATTTGTCTTTGGACCAGAGTAGAATCAGACATCTGTTTTCACAGCCCGTTTATACATTGACCAAATGAACCTGGTGGTGGCCCCTGATTGTGATTGTTCCAGCATCTTTCAAGAGATCCTGAAATATTTGTCGGTGGTCTTCCCCTGGTTCAGTGCTTCAAATACAGTTGCATTCTGGGCCTCAAGTTGATTTAAATGAGATTAGAGAGCAGTTCAACAGTTAGAGGGATATGTGGACAATCAGAGACTCACCGACAGAGGTTCAGGACATGAATTGGTTCACACGGGACAGTGACTGATAACAATTAATTAGAAGTAACAAGAAGGAACATAACTGCATTAATATTTAAGAATTTTAGTTGAAGCCGGGCTCGGTGGCTCAGCCTGTAATCCCACGCCTTTGGGAGGCTGTGGTGAGTGGACTGCCTGAGCCCGCGGGTTCGAGACCCGCCTGGGCAGGCGAGACCTCATCTCTACAATAAATCAAAAAATCAGCCGGGCATGGTAGTGCGTGCCTGTAATTCTGGCTACTTGGAAGGCTGAGGCGGAAGGATCGCCGGAGCCCAGCAGGTCGAGGCTGCGGTGGCTGGGAGCAGCTACTGCACTCCAATCTGGACGACAGAGTGAGACTCCAACTCAAAAAAAAAAAAAAAAAGAATTTTAGTTGAAATAGTGTACTCTACATAAATGCAACACTTCTATTCTACTAATAGTCATTTGACAACTATACTCTGTTTTGTGTGTGTGTGTGTGTATACAAATATATATATATATATATATATATATATATAAAATTATTGTTATCTTTTTGAGTCAGAGTCTCACTCTATCACCCAGGCTGGAGTGCAGTGACACTGGGCTCAGATGATCCTTCTGCCTCAGCCTTCCAAGTAGCTGGAACCACAGGTATGCGCCACCATGCTAATTTAAAAAAATTTATTGTAGAGACAAGGTCTTGCCAATTTGTCCAGGCTGTTCTCAAACCCCTGGGCTCAGGCAATCCTCTCGCTTTGGCCTTTCAAAGTGCAAGAATTTCAAGCAAGAACCACTGCGCCCAGCTAACTTTGTTATATTTTTATTTTAAAATAATAACTAAGGAGGGAGGCGTTCTTATCTATGCTTCTTGATTACCTGGAAACCACCTTAAATGCCAGGGCAAGGCAAAACCATCTACTTAGTGCAGCCTATTTTAAAGGCAGGCAAAGTACCTATAGGGCATTAAACAAACAGCTTGGCAATCCTGGATTTGCAAATCGCATAATCACCACGGGTTTAGCTTGGTTCGTTTGTGGCTGGCATTGTGATACGTTCATATGCACAAGCACGTCAAACCACTGCCCCAGAACTCAGGCCCCAAGTACTGTCATCATAGGCCAAACTGTCATCAAGGCCAATGAGTCCGGTTGAGCTTAACTTTATCTTGGAGGGAAGACTTTTTTTATTTTTCTAAAAGTGAGAACGACTTTCATGTATACCCTTTGTAAAATGGGGATAATAATTACAATACTTCCCCTCAAAGAGTTGTTGAGGATTTAATGCACCATGGAACAGTGCTTGGCACGGGGCCTGGCACATGGTAGGCATGTCGCCAACATTAGCTGCTGAGATTATAATCTCACCATCTTCCTCTTCCAGGTTTTATAAACCTAGGAATCACCTTTACCTTCTTCTGTTTATTTATCTGATACGCCCAATCAATCACCAGGTTCTTTCACTTCTTACTTCAAAGCCTCTCTCTGAGTTTTCTCTCACTCTCCATTCCTGCTACCATGTTTATCCAGGATAAACTGCCATGCACAACTGGGTGACTTTGAGAAACAGGTTCCTGTTTCCTATTGGTAGAGTGAAGATAATGTCATCTTTTGTACTACTCCACAGGTTGCTGTGAAGATCACATGAGGTGTGTGCCAAAACCCTTTGCAAACTCTAAGGTGATGCAAATATGACTTTTTAGAGTTTTAGCATAACCTTCAGCTCTCTATAACACTGGTTTTTTTCCTGTTCTAATACATCCTGTACATTATGTTCTTAAAATACGACCTTTATTACTTAGCAAAGGAGCTACATGTATAAAGAATAATCTATTGTTTATCTTAAGTCTCCTGTATACAAATTTAAGATCTAGCCCTAGCCTACTATTCCCTTATTTACTGAGGTCTGCCTCCTCAGTTTCTGGACTTATGGAAAGTGATCTTCCTTAGTTTCTTTGTCTCTCCAATAAAAAGGGAAACTATGTGGTGAATATTAACTAACTACAGAGATAAGAACAATGCTATCAGCAGCTTCACAAGGCACTTTTTAGGAAAAGCAATACCGTAGAGACCAGTGCTAACACTGGCTTAGGATAGAGAGCACTGTTGACCTGGGATTGGCCACTTGGTACAGTCAGAAGCTTAGGCAGTGACATAGGCAATGAGTGGGCTTCTGCAGGGCCAGGCAACTGAGGCCATTTTTCCCCACGGCCACTCACATGTTTCTGAACATAAGCCATGTCAGTTTGATAGTGACGTCCTCACCAAGTGACTGCCTGGGTTTCACAGACACACGTCTATTTTGTCTAGATCACTGATGGGTAAGTTGCTCTCTTAATTTTCCTTTGAACCTATTTTATTTGAACATCACTACACAATCAGGTTTCTTTTGAGTGATGTTGTACTGCATGAAATCCTGACCTAGAATTCCTTCTCTTTCTGATTTAGATAGGAGAAGTTCAATTTATTTTTAACAAAATGTACATTACACAGTCTTCACATCTTGGACATTGGTGCTTATTCATCATTCAAATAGATATGCTGTAGACTTATATATGTATATTTTGAATTTTTCCTGAACAATTTTACTGAAAACTTGCTTCAGGGAGAAACATGAATACAAGATAATTTCCCATTTTGTTTGGCCAAGCCAACACCTGCGAAGACACTGAAAGGTGAATCATCTTCAATTCAGCAGGTGAATTATGTATGTCTGGGAATGTCTTTGCCACTTTGGTGAGAATTCAACTACCAATGCCATTAATGTTTTTCTATTGAACTAAAAGACGCTTACATCGCTGAATATTTTAATCAACCACAAACACACATAATTACAACAAGGCAAGTCAATATAAATATTGTATATCTAATTATCAATAGCCAGTATAATCTAGATTATTTGTGTCCCATTTATGAAGAGTTAAAAGCCCGAATGGCAGTCAGACACAAGGTGGAATTTTTTTTTTTTTTTTACAAAAAGGATTATATGGCTACCTCATTATCTCTTCCTTTTCATTTATTGACCGGAAATGTAAGGCAAGAGCTTTCCTTATGTTTTTATCCTCAGGTAAGGCCTCAATATATATAGATTAATATCCATCTGCATCTGTTGAACCTGTATATCTTGGATTACCATTTCAATAGTCTTTAATGACTTCAGATGCTTACATCACATGCACCAGCTCAATGGTATGATGTTTTAAAAATCTTTATCCAATATTGGTTTCTGAACTTGGAGGTTTATTATATTAAGAGTTATCGAGTCTGGAAATGTGGCCTGAGAATGGAGCAGAAGGTACTCCTTGGTGTACTGTGACTGATAAACAACTTTCCTACGATGGCACAGGACCACATTTTCTAAAATGCTCACAAGTTGATATAAATGATATCATTGAGCTTTAACTTATCTAAAACCAAATATGAGCTAGGCATGGTTGCTCATGCCTGTAATCCCAGCGCTTTGGAAAGGTGAAAGAAACTTAAACTTAAGGCCAGGAATTCAAGACCAGTCTGGGCCACATAGCAAAACACTGTCTCTACCAATAAAAAAATAAAAGAAAAGAAAAAGAAAATTAGCCGGGCATGGTGGCACATGCCTGTAGTCCCAGCTACTCAGGAGGTTGAGATGGGAGGATTGGCTTAAGCACAGGATTTTCAGTCTGCCATAAGCTATGATTGTACCACTGCACTCCAGCCTGAGTGATAGAGTGAAGATGTTTACTTAAAAAAAAACACACACACAGTCGGGCTCAGTGGCTCAGCCTGTAATCCCAGTGCTTTGGGAGGCTGAGGTGAGCGGATTGCCTGAGTCCACAGGTTTGAGACCTGCTTGGGCAACTTGGCGAGACCTCATCTCTACAATAAATCAAAAATTAGCTGGGCATGGTAGCATGCACCTGTAGTTCCAGCTACTTGGAAAGCTGAGGCAGAAGGATTGCTGAAGCCCAGCAGGTCAAGGTTGCAGTGGTCGGAAGCATGCCACTGCACTCCAGTCTGGGTGACACAATGAGACTCCAACTCAAAAAAACCCCCCAAAACCCCCCCAAAACC